AAAAAAAAAAATAACTGACTGTTACGATTTAGAGCAATGAATAAGTCAGAAACTGTAGCGATAGCAACCGTGAACAAAATACTTCCGGTTATGGATCTGTAAACCTTGTGAAAATCTTACAAAGATAAGCAACATAGTAACCAACACTACCCAAAAAAACACAACAAAAATTTAAGTTTTAGATTTTTTGCTTACTAAAAAAATCCTACTGAAAATTCTACAGCAGTGGAGGAGTTAATTAAGAATTAAACACATACAAGACAATCCAAGTTCTGTAATCAAAATCCTGTTTCGCTTCGCTTAAAGAATACGCTGCACATACTGGCGAGATTCCATTTAAAAGTACTAAAACTATTAAACTTTATATTTCCTGATAAGTCAGTAAAAACTGCTTTATCAATACGCTAACAGCTGTCGTATGTGATGGTGGCATCATGAAAAGCCAAAGCAATCTTTACCAATCGACTTTATTCAGCGCTTAGAATATTACTGCCTTTTTTATATCTGTCCACAAATTGCGTGACTGACCTAATCAAAAATTACAAAATACATACCACTTCTACCCAACTGAAGCAAGTCTTTTGAGTTGGAACATGTTTTTGGGACACAGATATCAAAGCCGAATCCAACTGGACCATGTCGGTCTGTAGCGCATGCATTTGGGCTGGTGTAGTCGATAAAAGATTGATCCAGATAAAGTCTAAATGTATTCATTTATTAACCGTCAGAAGAAGTATCAACAAATACAGATACTTTCGTCTCACAGATGCTTCACTGCTGGTGCCTAAAATTCTTATTGACATTCGATAAAAAAATTAGTATAAATATTAAATGAGAGAAAGATATCTGTGTTAAAATGAAAATTCTTGTTTTTTGGGGAGTGTTTTATGAAGAGACGACAGCGATGAAGAAAGTTGACAACCTACCTGCCAAAACCTCCCTGAATTGTTCTGTTTGCCCCATAAATATGCTTATTTATTTCCAAACATTCCCTGTATAATCCAGAAAACTTCTTACTTCCTAAGAAAACACCCGGAGCTATTTTGGAACTTGCGTCGACCACTGAAATATTGAGATCAGAGGTTTTTTAGTCACAGAAAAATATTGGCTAGCATAATTTCTTACAAAATTTAGAGATTTACCTTTGACATTTTCTTTTCAGGTTGTTTTAGTTAAAAAATTTTTTTTAGGTTGATTTATGTGAAAAGAAAGTTTATTGATTAATAATTCCTCTAACTAAGCTTAAAGCTTTTTTGAAATTTCCTTTGACCTGATTTTTTTTAACAAGCAGAGACGTAATTTTTTTAGCCAGATCAGTCATTTATGCACACAGTTGAGTGAGCTTTCGGCACTATAGAATAGTGACCTTCTCACAGAGAAATGCACATGAAGTAACTCAGGTCTGCCTTTCTCTATTTAAATAAATTTTTTAAAATAAAAATTTTGTTTTGACTTCTAAAATAAGTTTGGAAATTTGAACAAATTGTTCTTGATGACGATAAAGAATAGCAGAGAGCTGTCTCTATATGGAAAGGAAAGATTATTTGCCATTAAAATTTGAGAAAAATAAAGTTCAAAAAACTCTAGTATACATATGACTAATTTACCGTATTCTATAATACAGGCTTCTCATAGCTACTTTCCTTCATATTTTTTTTCAAATTTTTAGCTGAATTTTGAAACATTTACGTATTTAGTAAAGGTAAAAAAATGAACTAAAAGTTTACGGTTTTTTGAAGCAAAAGTCGAAGAAAAAACTATTTAAGATAAGAAGTTTATTTTTTAGCTTTAATAAACTGTCGTTAGATCTGAAATATTTTCTGTAATTCAAATATATTAAAAGTTTCAAACAATTTTAGTGATTTTGCAGACAAAATAATATATTCTTTCAAGAGTAAAAATTAGAATACAGTTAAATTTGCAAGCATTAACTAACTTCGAAACAAAATATTTTCTTGAACTTCTCCACCGGCAGATAAAATCATATCATTGCTGGTGTTCGCTAAGACGATCTTCAAATCTTTAATGCATTCTGCAACAAATAGCACAGCTTACGTTTTGAACAAACTCTCAACATTATTTTTTTCTGATTAAACTTGTATTTGTTAGTAAAAAACATTTTTTCCAATTACTGTCGTCACTTTTGAGACTGCAACAGACTGTCACCGATTAGCAGTAGTAACTTGAAACAAGTTTTTAGGCTTTTTACTTTATACTACATGTTTATTAAAAGAGCTTAATGTTCAGAAGCTGCTTTTTGAACACTTTTTTTAACTTAGCAGATTTAATTAGAAAACAAAAATTAGTCAAAT